ACCATTTTGTATTCCTACCTGCAATGCACAAGGGTTCCAGTTTCTCCACATCCTCGCCATTATTTGTTGCTTTTCATTTTTCTGATAATAGCCATCCTAGTGTATGTGAAGTAGTATCTCATTGTGGTTATAATTTGCATTTTTCTAATGACTGATGAGTTGAGCATCTTTTCATGTGCTTGCTGGCCATTTGTATATCTTTGGTGAAACGTCTGTTCAGGTCTGTTTTAGTCATCTCGTGCTGCTGTAACAGAAATACCACAAGCAGATGGCTTTAACAAACAGAAGTTTATTCTCCATCAATCTTCCCCTGGATTAGGAGCTTCTCTGCGCAGGAGCCCCAGGTCTACAGGACACACTGCTTCCGGTACTGCTTTCATGGTAGCATGAAGTCCCCCATCTCTGTGCTTGCTTCTCTTTTTTATATCCCAAAAGAAACCAGCTCAAGACACAGTCCAGTCCCATAGATTGAATCCTGCCTTATCAACACAACTACTGCCCCCCCCTCATTAACATCATAGAGGCAGGATTTACAACACATAGGAAGATCACGTCAGATGACAGAATGGTGGACGGTCACACAGTACTGAGAATCATGGCCCAGCCAAATTGATACATACATTTTTGGGGGACACAGTTCAATCTATGACAAGGTCCTTTGTCATTTTTTTATTGGATTGTTTGTCTTTTTGTTGTTGAGTTGTAGGAGTTCTTCATAATTCTGAATATTAAACCCTTATTAGATATATGGTTCCCAGTATTCTCTCCCATTATTTAGGTTGTCTCTTCACGTTGGTGATACAGTACTTTGATGCATACAAGTTTTTAGTTTTGATGAAATCCCATTTGTCCACTTCGTCTTTTGTTGCTCAAGCTTATGGTGTCATATGTAAGAATCCACTGTTAAAAATGAGGTCCTGAAGCATTACCCTGGTGTTTTGTTCAAAGAGTTTTATGGTTTTAGTTCTTACAATTGGTCATTTATTCATTTTATATGATGGGAATTGTTCAATCAAGGTATTTCCTGACAGTAAGGATGCTCTATAATTCATATTACTGCCAAACCAAAAACCCAAACCCACTGCCATCGAGTCAATTCCAACTCATAGCGCCCCTATAAGGCAGAGTAGAACTACCCCATAGGGTTTCCAAGGAGCACCTGGTGGATTCGAACTACCGACCTTTTGATTAGCAGCCGAACTCTCAACCGCTACTATTACTACAGCAGACCTCAAATCTGAGAGCAATGCTAGCTAGGATTAAGTATCAGATTTTTCTAAACACTAGGATTTAGAAATTTCAAACAAAATATGTGTTTTTGTTGTAAACAGAAATACATTGGCTTTACCTAAGTATGTTTCCAATGTTCCACATACATTTTCTTATTTATTGCTAAAGGTAACTATGAAAATAGTGTATTTCCTGAATCATACATTTTCATTTTTATTATTATGAAATAATGGGCCTTTTTTAATAGCTTTATAATTTGGCAATTAACTGAAACCTAAACCTAAATTATCCATTACTTCAAAGAGGGAATTAAAGCAGGAAGCAAAGCATTGAACTCATTTTTATTAAACACCCTACATACAGTAATTAGTCTTTTTCTCACTGTAATACCATGATTTCTTAAAACAAATATGTAGGCTGTTAAACCCACAATTTTAGTGGTTTCTGGGGTTTTCCAGTTCAAACCAGAAGATTTAAATTGTTGGATGTTCCTTTTTTTAAGAACTTGAACTCCAAATCCCAAGAAGTCTAAGTTTTCTGCTTTTGACAGGGTACAGTCTTGCCACTTTTCTGTCGTTCTCTGTTAGTGGAAAATATTTGAGTTTTTCTTCTCTGTTAGGTTTCTGCCTTACGCAGGTTCTGGCTTTCACAGGTTTTTCTATTTACTTTTTTTGAAAGGACAGTTTCTAGAGTGATCTCTGAGATACTCTGCAGCTTGTTCACTTTAAAACGTTAATTTTGCTTTTATATTTTTATTCCTAAGTCAGTTTCTTCTTGCAAAGATTACTTCTCAATGACTTAATATTTGCTAATCTTTGATATGTAAGTTAAACAGAGGCATTTTGAAATCACAACATGGATTCACTTTATATACATGAATATTTCCCTTCACAAATATTCCTCTAAATAAATCAGGTTTGATTACCTCTGCAGTAACCATATTGTCCCTCTTTCCATTTTTGAGTAAATTTTTAATAAATTCCTCAAGCCTAGAGTATGAATGTTAGTTATTAGTCTGTACTGTATTGAAACTCCGCTTAGAGGCATGAGCCGTATCGACAGACAAGCCATTGGACACAGGGCCCCATTCGTTGTGTCAGATTTGCAAGACTTGATGGGCAAGTTCAGTTTGCCCTTGAGTATCCTTTACATTTGAATACTACCTTATCTCCATTATTTCTTAAATATTCATGCTCCCCTTTTTCTCCCTCCATAATTTTTGAGCCAGGTAGTCTTCTGTCTAATTTCCGTGAATTGGTATTGAATAATAGCAACTGGAAATGATAATGCTTCGAAATTAAAACTAAATAATTCTAAAACTGGATAGAGACCTAAGGTACCTGTATCATTTGAAATATGTCAGTGTAGTAAAATGATGAGCCTCAAACAAAAAGCAGCTATACACTAATCTAAGGTCAACATTTGATTAAGAGAAAGTAACGTTCCCTTATAAAACATAGAGAACACTTTGAAATATAAAGAAGTCTTGAATTTTTTTGTCTTAAAGAAAAATTTATATCTGTAGTTGTCTATTTACGTTACTTTTCAACACTGTAAAACTTCATCCTATATGCATATTAATATATTTGTTTCCTTTGTACGTGAGATAATCACCTATATATAAAGGCCTTGGTCCGTTAGTGGAGAACATTGAAGGGAAAAAATAAAACAAGTTTTAGTTTAACATGATGTTTGGCTCCAGATTCCTTAAAATTTAATCAGCCTATGGAACAGGTAAAACTAATCTCTACTTACAGAAATCAGATCAGTAGTTGCTGGGGACAGGGGAAAGAGTAGAGTTTGATAGTAAAGAAACATTAGGGAACTTTCTGGGTAGATGGAAATACTGTCTATCTTGATTGTGGTAGTTACATGAGTATATACTTTTGTCCATAATCTGGGCTGTACATGTACAATGTGTGAATTTATTCCTCAGTGAAGTTAATTTAAAAAAAAAAAAAAAAACTCCTTTGCCATGAGATCAGAAGAACTGGATGGTGCTCGGCTCCCATTACTGAACATTTGATCAGAGATTCCATGGAAGAATCTTATCAAAAGGGAGAAAACACAGAACAGAATTTCAAATTCCAAATTTCCTAGAGCCATGAAGGTTGGATGAACCCCTGAAATTACTGCACTTAGATAATCTCTAAACCTTAAACCAAAAATATGCCCTGAAGTCTTCTTAAAACCAAACGGTAGTTTAGCTGAACTAGTAAAAAAATGTCTGCCTTGAGCATTATGCTCTTTTAAGAACTGTCTATATGGGACCAAAGTGACAACAGCAACTCAAAAGATTAGATAGGAGCTTTAGAGGACAGTGAATTTATGTTAATGGGGGAGGAACAACTCAGAAAAGGAGGATGAGAATGGTTACACAACTCAAGGTAATCAGTGTCACTAAGTAGTACATGTAGAAACTGTTGAATTGGTGTGTTTAGCTGTGTATATTCTCAACAACAACAAAATAAATAAATTTTTTTTTTTAAATCTCCTATGCATAAAAAGTGTGAGTATGTGGATGAAAAAAAGACGATTTAGCCTAAGTAATACTCTTTTCATTGGAGTATTGAAAGGCATGCATGTTTTTCATTGTCTGTTAATTGACTAAAAAGGAAGTTAAACCAGTGACAGGAGGTTTTTAATTGGCAAACAAAACAGAGTTTACTGGCCTGAAACATTGGTAACTAGGCTAAAAATAAGATTGTCAGGCACTAGTTTTCAAGATTCAGTTTTTACTTAACATTATACATTTACTAATCTTAAAATTAATAAACTTTTGTTGTAGAGTAAGCTAAATCAGTAAGGTAACATTTGCTAACTGCAGTAGAAATGCTTGTTTTCTGTTATATGGAGAATGAAAAATTACCTAAACTAAATGTCACAAATTGCCATAATAAACAGACCTGACAGCTTAAGAATGATAAAAATTTTGTTGGCCTTTTACCCTGTATTTTATGATGATTGTCTTTTGAATATTTTAAGTCTTGAATCCAGAGCCTGCTAAAAGAAATATTTTCCTAGAGGCAGTAATTAAGTACAACATAGCTGGAAATGTGAAACATATAGTTTCATCCTCCTTAGCAGCTGGGAAGATATACTGAGTCTTTGGCTGAATACATTTTAGTTTGCATGTTCTTGAAATAATTCTACATACGGTATTATACTGTGAGGAAATCCAAAGTAGAGATTAACTTTGACATATAAATGTCAATCAAGATTAACTTTAAATAAAATGTGATTATCTAAGTAACTATATGTATTTTAATTTTAACAATATATGTAAAATTTAACAATATATATTTTAATTTTAATATTTGTAAGGAATTAAATTTTTTTCTGATTAATCATATAAAGAACTAAATAGCGTTTTAAGCTTTATTACTGAAAAAGTAATTGATTAAATGATTTTTTTTTCTGTTTTTAATTTTGTAGGTATTGTCTCCCTTTAATTTATCCTTTGAATCATGTAGTTTTATATTCTAGTATATATTGGAAAATTCATTAATTAACTAATTTATAAAATAAGACCTAGTTACAGCAATGTTGCAATTAGTAAGCCTTTTCATGACTTTGGAAGCATTTTACAGCATATAATACTTGTTTGAAATGGTTTATATAAATAAAATCTGTACAGCCTTGGAGTAAAATGTAAACAGCTGCACTATTAGAAAGATATTAAAGTAGAGGCTATATTTACAGTGTCGTCTTTCAAATCTAGCTGTGCTGTAAACTGATGTTTGCTGTATGCTCCTCCTGATTTGAAATAGATGAAAGAAAATGAACCTGTCAACACCATGGTTCACACAATGATTGAGAACTCGGCGCTAAGACCCCAACTGTACCAGCAAGTAAGGTCTTGGACAGTGAATGGTACTGCTTTACCATCCGCAGAATCCCTCAGTGACAGTTTTGGTTTATCCTCAGATTTCCTCATAACATTAGTGTTGTTCTTATTTTATTTTTTGTTTATGTCGATTTGGAAAACCACAATTCATCCATGCTTTTCAAGATGCTGCAGTATTCTTAGCATGGCTTCGCTGAACATTTTGCCGTTGAATATTAAATGTGCCATTTTCCTCAAGTTTTTGTGCAGAGTATTTGATTGATACGTACTTGGAGGTCTGCAGTACATTTGCAAAATTTCTAATAAATCGCTGTTTATTTTTATCAATCCTAAGCATTATAACTGTGATTTTTAGGGGGAAAAACTTTTTAAATTTTTTTCCTTTCAGGGGTAGCACCCCACTCCCCAGTGATTTAGGAATAGATTATATTTTTATGAGAGTAGTTTACGTCTAGTTTTGGGTCTCTTGGTGAATGAGATCAAAATAATTTTCAAAAGAGAATGCTGTGGAATGGTAAAACCCACAGATAGACATTTCTTAACATCCTGGGGGTCTCTTTTCCCTGTATTCTTACCATTCTTCTGGTCATCGTAATAGTCGTATCTTACCCCGTTGTTTTGCCTAACTCAAAATATGTGTCAGGAAGTTGGCTTGGCCTTAATTTAGGAAACTCGGTCATCTGCAGATCTGCAAAAGAAGTCATACACATTTCTATTCAAATTTTTTGTAATTCATGGTCTTAATGTTCCTAGCTGTGTGTTTTGCAACATCAGCTTCTTCCACTTCAACACCCTTAAATTATTCTGGCCTATGATCTGTTACAATATTTTAAAATCATGCAGAAGAAAGTTAAGTAGCATGAAAAATGAATATATATTTTGATTAACGCATGTAAAAGCACCTGGTGAAAAGAATCACCTTGAGCTCACACTGGCAGTAGAGGCCTCTAGTTTGGTTCAGTAGCTTTGGGGTCTGCATCACGGGGCCATATAACTGGGAAATTAATACAGTTGGTGGGAGGATGACTCTTATTTCTGAGCACAATTTTCAACATATTCAAAGTATGTTATATAATTGGATATAGTCTTCAATTTGCAATAAAGTGATAGTCAAATTATTAAATAATTAAACAGCTTTACTTTTCAAAAGAAAATAGTATCTTTCAGTTCTTACAAAGTCACCAGACTATAGAACCTTGCCACTCCATCCAAAGTGCCACACTGATAACCTTTACACCCATTCTGGAATTGATACCTTTATCAGTGTTTGAAGCTGTCAGTTTATCACTTCGTATAATGCTAATTAACTAATTAACATTTTGCTATAATAGATTATATTTTCATTTTTTACATTTCGCATATTTTCAGTAACAGTGATAGCTTGGATGTTTGGTTTGGTTTTTCCTTTTTAATTTGATCAGCATTGAGGGTTGATGATGGGTAAAACAACTGATGACTTCAATTACTCAGTTATAGTGAAAGTTCCAAGTGAAGTTTTTCAAATAATGTGGTATGTCTGAAACTGGTCCTATATGACATCACTGACCTTGAGTACTGAAAGAGCAATAAAGATATTTATATAAATATATTTGTTCATACTAATACTTGATTAAAAAAAAGAAAAAGCTAATATTGCACAGAACAGGAAGATCTGAATGTCCAGTGTCAGCAGCCACACCTGGACATGATCGGGCAACCATTTACCAGGAAATCAATGTTGACTCTTAATTTAATGCTGTCCAGGCTAGGACGTCTTCAGGCTATCTTTTTTTTTTTTTTTAAATCAGCCACTAGTAATGGACTTAGTCATTAAGATATCTTTAATGGGTAAGTGTGATGGTCAGACACATTTCCTAAGCCCTGTTTATAAATTTACACAAATTAAAATTGGATCCTGATTTTTCTCCAGGCTTTCTTTATCATGTTCTATCCAAAGAAAATCTGTAGGAAAGCTTATATTGTACACTGTTCAGGCTTGCTTTTCTGATGTTGCATTACAATGCTTTGATAATAGGTCCCTGATATTTAACTGGAAATACAGTGGCAATACAGTATTTTTACGGCCTGTCTCATTCTGAATCATAGCTACATTTCCACAGCCACTCAGTTGTTCCCTCAGGAGGACCTTTATGTTTGTATTTTCTTCTTAGAAGGAGGAGAATACCTAAGAAATTACCTAGACAGTAATTTCTTAAATTGACCAAATAAAAAGGGCCTAAAACCGAATCAAAACAAATGCTGAATAAGTGAGCTTCAAGTTGAAAAATATCCGCTGCGTTTGTTAATCTTTCTACTGCCTTTCAGAGTTTTATTTTTGTACCATAGTTTTTATTTTCTCTCATGATTAATATCAGTGAGTATTATGAATAATTATTCTAAAAGGTACAGTCATGTGATCTTTTTTCTTTTTTAGCAAATACCTATAGTCATATGAGTATTTTGTAGCCCTCACAGGATATAGTGCCCGATTTTATCAAATTTAAAAATATTTCTCTGAAAATTATTTTAGGAGTTTATATGTATATATCCATATGCTTTTTAAAAATATATAGTTCACATAATTAAAAGGCATATTGTAGAAAGCTGGATTTTAATTAACAGTAAGGAATTTTATTTTGACTTAATGACAGGCTGGTTTTTAAGAAGACTTTAGATACCTTATTACAAAAAGATTCTGACTTTCTCATAAAATATAGCATAACATGACCTTCTATAGTCAGCAAAATCTGTTACAGACTCCTCAAATTCAAGCTTATAATTACTATACTGCTTAAGCTTACATAATTACAACACAGCCCATTTCTTCCTGTGCTTTTTTAACCTTGCCGAGGTACTTAAAATGGCTACAGAATTCAAACCCAAAACTCCTGTTTTTTTAAAGATGAATGTGAAAAATGATAAAAACCAATACTGTGAGCATTGTATATGCAAATTTGAATATTCATGAAGCTGGGGTTTTTTTATTAATAGGATCTTCATATTGAGAACTAAATAACAAACTTTTCCAGCCGTATTGGACAAAATTTTCTTTTTTAAAGCACTGGTGATCATTATCAGTAATGTAAAACAGGACATGCTTAAAAATTAATTTTTAAGGACTAATCTTGTTTTCTTCTGGCTCCTAAAAGGAGTGTGTAGGAGAAGATTGATTGGTTTAAGATTTCATTAGCTGAAATCTAATAATGACTGTCTTTATTGAATAATTCAGTGAAAGATTTAAATAAAATTTTCAATGGAACTAAAAATATAGGTACAACAAAAATAAATCTGATTTATATAGGTAGTATATTTATATGGCTATAAGAATCTATCACTCCAAACTTACAGCTGCACGTTACACGTTTTATTTTTATAACGTGCCAAATGATGTAAAAATGAATATGCAATAAAAGATTCTCTAAATAAAAATCGTATACCAATATTCTGAATATTTACTACAAATGATTAGGTTTCCATTTTAAATGCTAGTCTTTTTACAGTTGATCCTGGAATATAGCATAGTGTTCATATATTAATCTACATGTGGCACCGTTTACTAGTTATCTCAAATTATAAAACTTCTCTCACATTTCAAGGTTTAGTAAAGCTGTTTTGCATTTAACTTTAAATGTTAAACAAAGTATATTTGGATATCTTAGTAGCTTAAGTTTTGTTTTTAAATTCTTATGAGAAAAATGTAATTTTTGCAGTTGTTTTCAATATGGATCTAAGCATTTTAAAACTTACTTCTCATTACTGCTTTTCAGATAGGCGTATAAACTCTCTTCTTGGATCTAGGTGCTTTAATTAAGAGTGATAATTGATACTTCTCAGAACATGTTGGCTGATCTTTATTTAAAATAGTGCACAAGTATTCTGGCTTTGGTTATTAAATTCATTTTTCATGTAATGTTCATTTCTATGAAAATTCTATGGTTTAATAATCACTGTGCATACTCTTAAATTGCCACAAGACTCATTTGCATGAGATATGTGAAAGTAATGTCTTGAATTGAAACACATAATCTTTCCAGCATTTTATTGTATGTTTGGAATGCTTATATCTTTAACCTTCTCCTGACCCTTACATTTCTAGATCCATTCAAAGTTACCTGCCTTTTAAATTATGCCTTTTTTAAAAGATGTATGTAACTGTCAAGCAGTTTTTTACAGAGAGGGCGTGTATAGTTGTAATTAACACGTTCTTACACACTTATAAATGTATTATATGATACTTAACTTTTTCCAAACTAGAATATACTTGGGACACATTACTTCCATCTCCACCTCAAGAAAAAAGTGTGCCACTTAGAAAACATGCAGTGTACCCCAATTAAATTTTTCCTACTATGTTTTTGTTACTGTTTAGAAGTCAATGTAGAGTCAAAAGACAAGAGAGATAGTGAAATGTTGCCTGCAGAGGCTATGGTGTGATCTTTGGTATAACTGAATTGGATGGCTATTGAAATCTTGGTAAGCACAATCAGAAATGAGGATTTGTTTGACCAAAAGACATTTGGAAGAAGCTAACGAAGGGATGTTTGTAGATAACAGTTCCTTAAAATATAAAAAAAGTGTCAGCCAACACATATAAACTTAACTATGCAATTTGACCATCCATAGTTCGTAATGTAGGCTTTCAGTTTTATGAGGTTTTGAATGATTTTCCTCTTTTCAATTAAACCCATCCTTTTCCTCCATTATCTTTTAGTTCTTAAGACAGAAGAACAAGATAAGTTTATATTGTGTATGTATGTTTATATATTGTGTATATGTATACAATATGTTATAGTTTTTGTTAATAAAATTGTACTAAGATGTGTTGGCATCTGAGTGTATATAGACACAGTTTGTGATTATGTGTATACCCTAAAGGATGGTTTTAACTGTTGAAATATGTTTGGTTTGAATATTTTATTCTGGTTGCTATGATTGTATTTGTCAGTTTTCATTAAAATAACATGTCTTAAAAATGAAAAATGTAAGGTGCCCTATAATTTTGTTTGACCAGCTTATTATTTTGTTTGAAAAGCTTAAGTTAACATCATTCTTATGTATCTTACATATTGTATCAAGTTATTTTCTGCTTTTGTAATGATCTGTGTTTTGAATTAAGCTTTTGAAAGTTTAAAAATCATTAAAATCCTATTTTTGTTACAATGTTATATATTTTAACGTAAGTCTAAAATATTACACATTGACTAAATAAATATATTTGTAAAATATGATTTTTAAAGTTACTATATGACATCTTTCCTTGTAGCTGTCGCAAGACGAATGTAGAGGTACATTATACAAATACAGACCTGAACAAGTGGATATCGATGTAAGTATTAGGGTGTATATACATATATGTTGCCAGTACTCTGTCATATTCCCTACCAAGGCATCAGAAATAAGCATGACGAAAAGCTCTTCCTCCCTTGGCCTCCAAAATGACATTAAATAAATTAGCATTTTTCTTCTTAGATTAAATGCCTCCCACCTCCACCACCTCCCTCCACCATCATTAGCAGTTGAACATATTAAGGATGATCAGCGGTAGAATTCTCACCTTCCGTGCAGGAGACTCAGGTTTGATTCCCAGCTAGTGCACTTCATGCTAAGCCACCACCTATCTGTAAGTGGAGACTTGCATGTTGCTATGATGCTGAACAGGTTTTAGCGAAGTTTCCAGACTAAGATGGACTAGGAAAAAAGGTCTTGCAATCTACTTCTGAAAATCAGCCAGTGAAAACCCTGATCGTCAGTATTGTGCAGGAGTGGGCAACATATTGTTCCATTCTGTGTAGGGTCACCTTGAGTCAGGGGGCTGATCCCATGGCAGCTAATAACAACAGTGAAAGACTATTTCTGATAAAACATTGTGGAGGACTAGGGACAAAGAAAAATTATTATCTGTGTTTTCTAGAGAAAGTATCACCCCTTAGGAATTTTATTATTGCTTCCCTTTTGAATTAAATTTAGTCTTTTTTTTAAATCATGTTTTAAATCACTGATCTGCCATGCATTCTTTATTTATATCTCGTTCTTCCTCATTTCTCCTGGATTTATTCCATTGAGTTGTTCCTCCTTGTTATTTGAACATCTTTTTTTTTTTTTATATAGCTTGAATTTTTTTGTCTGACAACAATATGGTAGTTATTTTAATAGATAAATGGCAAAGAAGATAAAGTTTCAGATTTCTTACTTACATGTAATTGTGCTGTAAAGTAAGAAGTTTGGGACATATTTCCAGTTTTTTCAGTGTTTTTATTTTGAGACACTACAACATCTATATTATAAGACATCTAAACTTTTTTTTTAAATTAGCTTCCCAACTCTGGACTTTCTGGAGCCATGGAGGGTAGATAAACCCCTGAAACTATTACCCTGAGATAATCTTTAAACCTTAAACCAAAAATATCCCCTAAAGTCTTCTTAAAACTGAACAGTAGTTTAGCTTATCTAGTAAAAAATAGAAGGTCTGCCTTGAGCATTATGCTCTTTTAAGAACTATCTATATGAGGTCAAATTGACAACAGCAACTCAAAAGATTAGATAGGAACCTTAGAGGGCAGTGAGTTGATGTTAATGAGGAAGGAACAATTTAGTAAAGGAAGGTGAGAATGCTTGCACAACTTGAAGAATGTCATCAATGTCACTAAATTGTACGCGTAGAAACTGTTGAATTGGTGAGTTTTGCTGTGTATATTCTCAACAGCAACAACAAAATAAATAAAATTTAGGAAAAAATACTGGCCTTCTCAAGTTTCTATTCCCATTTTAATGTGAAAATTAATGAGAAAGAAGAACTGGTTCTTTGTAATCTTCAAATTTTGTTAGAGTTACTAGAGTAACTTCTTGTATTTCAAATTTTAAAAAATTAGGGTAGTACTAAGAAGTCAAAACATTGAGACGCTGAAAGTGACTCTTCATTAGCAATATTTTTATGTGTATCGCAGTTAGAAGCAGTCTTTTGTTTTTTTCTAAGAACATAAGAGCTTAATTTTAAAATACATAGACTTTAGTTGTTTGCGTTAAGGACTGCATATAATACTTAACCTCAGCAGCAAATTGTAGGGGGAAAAAATCCTTAACCACATTAAAATAATGAGATCGAGTCATATGAAAGTGTCTAATTACTAAGGATGTTTTTCATTAGGTAGGTTTAATAATATGGTTGAAATACTTTTTTACTTTACTCTGCATGCCTCTTGAAGCATTCTATCTTTATAAGCTATATTTTCATTTTTATTGTACAAGTTGAAGTAAAGATTGACCTAATTAGGTGTTCTGTGACTATTTTAAATGTGTTTTCTTGTCATATAGTGACTACCTATCTCCAATTACAGGGAAAAGAAAAAATTGCTAACAAAAGACATCTTCTTTTATAACCCAGGCCAAGTTAAGCCGATTATGTGAACAAGATAAAGTGGTACATGCTCTGGAAGAGAAACTTCAGCAGCTCCACAAGGAGAAAGTAGGACAATTATGTTTATTATCCATAATTGATGTTACTTTATATGATTATTACCCGGACACTGATGAGTAATGTCAAAAGAATTAATTCAATGATGCAGAACATTAAATGCAATTCTTTTTTATTATAATAGTACACGCTTGAGCAAGCTTTGCTATCAGCCAGCCAAGAGATAGAAATGAATGCAGATAACCCAACAGCCATTCAGACTGTGGTGTTACAGAGGGATGATTTACAGAATGGACTGCTTAGTACATGTCGAGAACTGTCTCGAGCTACTGCTGTAAGTAACAAATTTTTTTCCCAGTAAAAGTTGCTGACATATCATGCAGTTCTTTTTTCTTTTTTTCTATTTAATTTTACTTTTTAAGATTACTCTTTATTATAAGAGAAAATATTAATTTGTTGTTAGCATTTTTTATCTAAACTCATTAAAAACCTGTTGCTGTCAATTCTGACTCAGAGCAACCGTATAGGACAGAGTACAACTGCCCCATAGGGTTTCCAAGGCTGTAATCTTTATGGAAGCAAATTGCCACATCTTTCTCCTGCAGAGCAGCTGGTGGGTTCGAACCACTGACCTTTCAGTTAGCAGCCAAGCTCTTAACCACTGTGCCACCAGAGCTTTTTATGTTTATCTAAGGAAGATTAAAATAAAGAGTAACCTTTATTTTTCTAATTAATAGGCATTTTTTTCTTTGTGAAATACATGTTTTACAGGGAAGATAAGTACTCCTATTTTTTATGTACTATGCAATATGCAGATGACACTACCTTGCTTGCTGAAAGCAAATGGGACTTGAAGCGCTTAGTGAGGAAGGAGATCAAAGCCTACAGCCTTCAGTATGAATCACACCTCCACATAAAACAGAAACCCTCACAACTGGACCAATAAGCAACATCATGATAAACGGAGAAAAGATTGAAGTTGTCAAGGGTTTCATTTTACTTGAGTCCACAGTCAACACCCATGGAAGCAGTAGTCAAGAAATCAAATGATAGGCCCCCAGACTCTCTTGTTAGTCCAGAATGAAAACCATTCCCAAAGCCCACTCTTCAGACATAGACTGGACTATAAGACATAAAATGATACTTGTGAAGAGAGTGCTTCTTAGCTTAAGTAGATACATGAGACTAAATGGGCAGCTCCTGTCTCCAGGCGAGATGAGAAAGCAAAAAGGGACAGGAGATGGTGGAATGGACTTGGGAAATCTGGAGTGGAAAGGAGGAATGTGCTGTCACATTGTAGGGAGAGCAGCTAGGGTCACATAACAATGTGTGTATAAATTTTTGTATGAGAAGCTAACTTGAACTGTAAACTTAAAGCACAATTAAAAAAAAAAAAAGAAATCAAGTGACCTATTGCATTGGGCAAATCTGCTGCAAAAGACCTCTTTACACTGTTAAAAAGCAAAGATGTCACTTGAGGACTAAGGTATGCCTGATTCAAGCCATGGTATTTTCAATTGCCTCATACACATGTAAAAGCTGGATGATGAATACGGAAGACCGAAGAAGAATTGATGTGTTTGAATTATGGTATTGACAAAGAATATTGACTACACCATGGACTGCCAGAAAAACGAACAAAATGTCTTGGAAGAAGTACAGCCAGAATGTTCCTTAGCAGCGAGGATGGCAAGACTTCATCTCACATACTTTGGACGTGTTAACAGGAGGGACCAGTTCCTGGAGAAGGACATCATGCTTGGTAAAGTATTAGGTCAGTGAAAAAGAGGAAGACCCTTGATGAAATGGATTGACACAGCAGCTGCAATGATGGACTCAAACATAGACAGCAACAACTGTGAAGATGGCTCAGGACCGGGAAGTGTTTTGTTTGGTTTACACAGGGTTGTTGTGAATTGGAACCGATTTCATAGCACCTAACAACAACATGCAAATGAAGAATCCCTAAAACGAATATGCAACGTTTATTTCATTAAGAAAATTAATATTTTGTGGATTTGGGGGAATTTAGAATGATTTTTGGAAGGTAGTAATTGGACTTATTTAACCAACCATTTCAATAAAAGGCACCTGGGAAAAGCTTTTAAGGAGCTGTAAACATTACCATTTCATAGGTGCATTGTGATCTAAGTATAGATTATAGGTTTAAGAAGAAATTAGTAGAACCTTTTAACCTATAGTCGTGTGACTTTATAGAGTCTCTTGGGATTATCAAATCTAAAAGTCTTACTTAGAGTTTATAAATTGAGTGTTTTATGAGTTTAAACAGTCTGCTTTAGATCCTATGATGTGGTCATCTGTAAACACAGTAAGAGCACCTGCCCAAGCAGCCCTTTGAAAGAGAAATTCTAGCAAAATGTACCCTGTTACAGAAGAAAGCTGCCAACACACCCTTGTCTGTACCTTTAAGGAGTTGTGAGGGAGCAGCTACCTTTTAAGAAAGCCTGCAGACAGTACAGCTTAACTAAGAGGGGTCTTTCCAAGCTAGCACAATACCAGAATCTCAGCACGGCTTTGATTCTAAACACTTAACATTCCAAACGTGAGCTGTTTTTTAAAGGTTTTATAGAAATCAAAATCTAGTTGTTTTCTGTTCTTAAATGCCTGATATTTATATTCTGATTTAAAAAATACTGTTATTTCTCTCCCTCTTTTGAGTCTCTTAATCATACTGTGGTGTTTATATACTTAAAAGAAGAAAAACTATTTAATATCCTTTAGATTGTGAGCTCCTTGAAATCAGACACCATGTCTCATTCACCTTTGTAGCTCTAGCATTCAGCACTATAGTGATGCTTGTTAAAAATTTGATGAATAATTGAGATAAATGACTTGCCCATGGTTACAAAGCTAATAAATGCTATGTCTAGAACTCAAATCCAGGTCTTCATCTTCTAACCATAACACATGCACCTATGTGGATTTTTATAGTAAAGTTATAAAGAAAGTATATGCACCTAAAATGTCTAATAATACAACGAAGCAGTCTCTGGGCTAATCAGTGTTGGTAGGATTTGTGTAAGAAGAAAGGAGAAGTTAAAGATGGTTCATACAGGACAAAATACCTTGAGCCATAGCACCAAGATGAGAATATGAGAGACATGTCTGGAGAAGAAGGAACTAGAGCTGACTAACTGGAATAGATGATTCCTTTCAGAGGGTAGGAAATATGAGATTAGAAAAGGAAAATGGACTAAGCTGTCAATGCCAAACTATTGAAAAAAAGCTTAATGTCCGTTTGGCAACCAGAGTCGAATCAAAATGGTGAGCTCTGCTGACATTTAGTTGGAAACCATTTAATGATTTGGTGCCCATTCTTGGAATTTCATTTTCAGGAAATCCTAGGGATGTACAGTGTTCACTTGTACCCAAATGTTATTCCTTCTCTTACCAATTGGGTTTAGTAACTTAAATCTCATCAGTAGGCTTAGAATCATCTGTCCCATCCAGCCCTGACAGGAAGTTTGTAAAAATGTCTTAACAGAAATAAATCTTGTTTTGAGTATTACTTTTTCTGGTTGTTGTCCTATATAATCACTGTTTTCTCTTTCATTGCCTTCAGGGTGAATCAATGGTTATTTCAGACTCACTGAACATGTTCTTGTAAGACATATCATACTACATAGAATACAAACTGTTATTTGTACCTTTATGTAAACTTACTTATATTTGTAGCCTAAGGCTACAAATGTTAGTATACACATATGGGCATATGGCTGGCACTCACTGAATGTTGACTAGATTGAAATTTGAATTAGATTTATGCTGGCAGAATCTCACCGGGTTTCTTCTGTGCATTCACAGTTCAGGGAATTGGTTCAAATCCAAGACCTGCGCCTAAGAGGTATAACATTAGGGCCTCTATAGATCAAAGCTTCGATTCTGAGAAAGTCTTCTAAACTGTTAGGTCACCAAGGTACCTAAAACTAGGCAAACCAGTAAAGCAGTCCACCTGTTATTTAATGATTGATGCTACATCTCTTCTCATTAAGCCCCACCCATCACACATGCTTCAAGCACATAGTGCCTTTGTGTTCTCTCCTGGCCACTATTTCTTTTTATCTAAGCCTGATCAGAAGGCAAGATTGGCATGTAGGTTATACTTTCAGTGTGTTGCTGTCTTAGTTTGAGTTCCCTTCAGGAAGTAGAGCCTGAGCTGAGGAACTGGGTTCAGACAGTTTATTTGGGAGATGATTCCAGGAAGCGGAAGAGAGAGTGTGGGGAGAATGAGACGGGAAAGGGAAAAGTCATTCAACATTATGAGGCTCATCCATGTGCTTACAGATTGCAAGAGTTCATTTATTCTCGTAGCTGGATGGCATGAAATTCTCCAATTTTCAGTGTCTGTGATTTTAAGATACTTACATATTTGAAAGTTATTACCCCTTTTAATTGCGTGTGTGTGTGTGTGTATCATCTTGACAAAGTAAGGTCATATTTTAAGATTTTTACATTGTGCTTGTATAATCTATGAAATTGTTTGGGAGGAAACTGATGTTATGCCAGTGCTGCCCCTTGTCTTGATATAGTTGTCATCCCCTGTTCACTTGTGTTTCTGCCCAATCATAATCATGTTTGAGGACCTAGGGTAAAGGCAGCAAACCAGGGAGGCACAGCAGGATTCTGAGACTTGGCAGATGGTGAGATTAATTGTAAAACCTGCTTAGGAGACATCCTCCCCAAATTCTAAAAGCAATTGTTCTAAAGAGCCAAAATTTTTAACTCATTTAAATTTTTAAAAGTGATTATAAGCAATTGCAGAAAATGAAAGGAGCCCTGGTGGCACAGTGGTTAAAGCACTCAGCTGCTAACCAAAGGGTCAGCAGTTCAAACCCACCAGCCACTCCACAAGAGAAAGCTGTGGCAGTCTGCCTCTGTAAAAATTTATAGCCTTGGAAGAGGACAAAGACTATATGAGACTACTGTTATAAAAACTCTTGAAAGGGTTTACACACAGAAAAAAACAATCTTTGTTGGTTATGAGGGAGAGGGAGGGAAAAACACTCACTAGACAATAGATAAGTGGTAACTTTGGTGAAGGGTAAGACAGCACACAACACTGGGGAAGTCAGCACAACTTGATGAAGGCAAGGTCATGGAAGCTTCATAGACACATCCAAACTCCCTGAGGAACCGAATCATTGGGCTGAGGGCTGGGAACCATGGTCTTGGGGAACATCTAGCTCAACTGGTATAACATAGTTTATTAAAAAAAAAAGTTCTACGTCCTACTTTAGTGAGTAATATCTGGAGTCTTAAAAGCTTGTGAGTGGCCATGTAAGATACTCCACTGGTCTCACCCCATCTGGAGCAAGGGAGAATGAAGGAAACCGAAGACACAAGGGAAAGATGAGTCCAAAGGACTAACGGACCACAACTACCACAGCCTCCACCAGACTGAGTCCAGCACGACTGATGGTACCCAGCTACCACCACCATCAGCTGCTCTGACAGAGATCACAATAGAGGATCCCAGACAAAGCTGGAGAAAAACGTAGAAAAAATTCAAACTCACAAAAAAGGCCAGACTTACTGATCTGACAGAGACTGGAGAAACCCCAAGAGTATGGCCTCCAGACACCCCTTTAACTCAGTACTTGAAGTCATTCCTGAGGTTCACCCTTCAGCCAAAGATTAGACAGGCCCATATAACAAACAATAATACATGTAGCTCAACCATGTGAAGACTAAATGGGCACACAAGCCCAGGGACAAGGACAATAAGGCAGGAGGGGACAGGAAAGCTGGATAAACGGAAATGGGGAAACTAAGGTTGAGAAGGGGGAGAGGGTTGACATGTCGCAGGGTTGGCAACCAGTGTTACAAAACAATATGTGTGTTAATTGTTTAATGAGTGTCTTAGTCATCTAGTGCTGCTATAACAGAAATACCACAAGTGAATGGCTTTAACAAAGAGAAATTTATTTCCTCACAGTAAAGTAGGCTAAAAGTCCCAATTCAGGGCGTCAGCTCCAGGGGAAGGCTTTCTCTCTCTCTGTCAACTTGCTCATCAATTTTCCCCTGACTAGGAGCTTCTATGTGCAGGGACCCTGGGTCCAAAGGATGCACTCTGCTCCTGGCACTCCTTCTTTGGTGGTGTGAGGTCCCCTAACTCTCTGCTTGCTTCCCTCTCTTTTTATCTCTTGTAAGATAAAGGGTGGTGCAGGCCGCACCCCAGGGAAACGCCCTTTACATTGGATCAGGGATGTGACCTTAGTAAGGGTGCTACAATCCCACCCTAATCCTCTCTAACATAAAATTACAATCACAAAATGGAGGACAGCCACACAATACTGGGAATCATGGCCTAGCCAAATTGTTACACACATTTTGGGCGGGACATAATTCAATCCATGACAATGAGAAACTAATTTGCTCTGTAAACCATCTAAAGCATAATAATAAAAAAAAAAAAATTACAGCCTTGGAAACCCTATGGGACAGTTCTGCTTTTTACTGTAGGGTCACTATGAGTCAGAATCAAGTGGACGGCAATGGGTTTGGGTTTGTTTTTGTTTTTTGTTTTTTTGGTTTTGCAGAATGTAAAAAATAACTCTCTGAAAGAACCTTTAGGAACTTGAGATAACCTGTATTGCTTCCTTTTCAGCATCTCTTCATACTAATCCCTTTTTTCCTTATCCAAGATTATTGCTCTTGTTAAACTGACATTTATCTGGGGGAGTCGGTGGTTCAGTGGTAGAATTCTCACCTTCCACTCAGGAGACCTGTATTTGATTCCTGGCCAGTGCACCTCACGCACAGCTACCACCCACTGTCAGTGGAGGCTTGCATGTTGCTATGATACTTGACAGGTTTCAGCAGAGCTTCTAGAGTAAGAGAGAGTGGGAAGAAAGGCCTGGCAATCTACTTCTGAAAAATCAGCCAATGAAAACCCTATAGATCACAATGATCAGCTCCACAGTCATCATGTCAATGGTGCAGGACTGGTCAGTGTTTCGTTCTGAGCAGTTCAAGGCAGAAAACCCCTAGTTATGGGAAGGTTCTGAGTTACTGATTCATCTAACATGAGCATTCAGTAAATACTTGTTGACTGCTTTTAAAGTGCCAATGCCACACTGGATTCTGGTTATTTAGTAGTGATCAAATACAATGTCTGCCCTCAGTCGGTTTATTAATGCTACCCTTACACTACTCTGAAACATCTGCAGAGTAACTGTAACCCCATAGAAGAGTAATTACACTCCCATGGGATAGCAGCCCTGAAATGGGATGATGTAAAGATGTGTTTTTAAGCACCTATAAAATCATTCTATACTCAATAGATTGCAGGCTGTTAAAGACCAAGTATCAAAAATTTCTCTGTTATTTAGAGTTTTTTTGTTTTTGTTTTTGTTTTTTTTTTCAGAGAGGAAAAGTTCAGATGGTTAGTATATTGAGTCTCTGTGAGTAGGATTTATTGAATTGCTTATATAGTTAACTGAATTAGTTTGTTTCATTGCATTACCATAAATTTATCCTAAATAAAGTCATGCCAAGTTTCTGGTGTCTTATTGAAAATCCAACATGCTAAAATATAAAGGATTTGATATATTTGTTGATGGAGAAATTTTAATCAGTATAGATAAGAAAATGCTTTACTTATACCCCTTATGCATTTTAGGAGATTACCTTTGAGAAACTTTACCTTATTGTCATGAATAAAGTATTTCTTCAAAGTAATACTCTTTAGACAGTAGAATCAATATAAATATTTTGATATCATGAACGAAT